AATAAACTGGATATGGATAGCAAATGAAATGAACAAGTAAACACCATCTATATTCATTAAACAAGCATGCTTGAGTCTTTACCTATACCAACTGGTTTCTATGTTCTTTACTGACTGCAACGGTTTGTTGTGGCAGGATCAGGTAGGAATAACACACAAAGAAAAGAGCAACAATAATGAAGATACTGCACTGCTAAGTCATACCAGAGCTCTAGTGCGGTATCCCACAATCCTAAGGTTACCTACGTCAACGATCATTCTCAAAACACATGTTCAAGAGAGATAAACTCTCAATCTATATTAACTTGTACAAGTCTCTGTATCACCCCTCGAGTTCAGCAAACTCAAATCCTTATGGGAGAAGCACTATTAGATATGACGTTCCTATAAAGTAGACGCTGAGCACAAGTAACTTTTTTTTCTCACGCCAAACTTTTCTGTAACATGTTATATACTGCCTGACGAATGGCATCCGTTTTAAACATCGCAATAAATGTTCATTTAGATGTGCGTGTAAACCTGTTTATTTATTCAAATTACATCGGGTTTAGATGGATGTTTCAAACTATTCGCAGAACACATACATAAATATTTATAAAAACTTTGTCCGGGTTCATATAAGCAGTTATGTAAGTTAAAAATATGATGTTATTCTTTCCAACCAACACGTAGAGATGTGTAAGTTTGCCGTTAAATCTTCGAGCTTACAAATTGTAGTAGTAAACGAATAAATTATTGAAACACACAGATAAAATGTTTTGATAAGAAAAAATATATAAATATGCGGACGTCAAAATTAAACATTAATTGTCCATCTCTGTCTTTCTAGTCATACCTCTGGGCTACTAGTGTGAGCAAACGAAAACTGCTGTCTGTTTTAAAACATGTGGATGAAATACTCTCTAGATTTTAAGAAAACATAACATTTTTTGTACTTCTTTGACATGACAATGTCTTTTAAAAACGAACGTGCGAAATAATTAGGAACAAAACTTAATTAAAAATATGTGATAAGAGCTTACCTTTCTGCTCAAGAAAGAATACAATGGTTTTATAGTGAATAACAAACATGGAAAGGGACATACTTACGGACAAAGCAATGTCACAGGAATATTCCACCAACTTCGTTGTCTCAGAATTCTCGCTGCCAACGAAAGTTTACATCCACAGGATGAAAGTGAAGCGCCATCTGTGTGGCGATATATTTATAAACCGACCACTTACGTCACTTGGCCACCTGTGCGAATGACATGGATCGTGTTTTGTGTTATGTTCAAAACACCATACTTAAAATGTTTACTACACGAAGCTTAGACTTATTTATTCGACTTGTCCTTGTCAGGGGTTACTGATGAGGGACACAATTTCTCGAAACCGGTAACTAAACATAATTATTTAAGTTTCAATCGTAAAGGATGGCAGGTTTACTTGAGTGTCTCTACCATTTATTTTTGTAATGAACTATTTCTAATAGCTTTTCATAACAAGCTATCAATGTTTACACCTGATTTGTTGACCACTCGGTAGTCACAGATTTCTGGGTTTCGCAATATAAATGATAATTGAATGAATAAATAAATTCGTGGGTCCATAATAGATGAAAACAATCTCAAATGAAAAGTTTAAAAGGTTCATTTTTAAAAGTTTTATTGAAGGACCGATCTAGTGGCTTGAGCACTGGTCCTCCCACCCATCTCCAGATTTCCACTTTAACTGCTGGTTGTGTGAATATAAAATACTACATGTTCTTGTGAAGTCAAAATCTGCTAAAATCGTACATGTACCACCAGATGTCTGCCACAATATATTTATATCTGTAGCGAATTGTTGCATTTCACTGGACTAAACCACATGTTGGGGCTAAAAATGTCTCGCTTCTGCAGATAGTGTCATCTGGAGCGAATCAACTTCTAACGCATTATTATTTTTTTTATTATCTCGCCTATCAGTCAATATCACTAAGACTGAGTCGCGATGCGACGTTGACATACACGCCACCTTTGTCAAGGGGAAAATGCTTTGATTTTTTTTAATGACTCATCTAATTATAGTATTCAAATCAAAAGCAAATAAGTTAGCCACAATTATCAAATATCTTGTAGTACACGTTTATTGATGATAAGCCTTAATAAATAAATAAAAAAAAAACTGATTGTGTCATACGTATCCTGTATTCTGCAAATATTCATAAAACTCTAGCATTTCGTCCTATTAATATAATGGTAATTTTGTGCTGCCCTGGTGTTCAACAGCGTAACTTTCCAAAGGTGTGCTGATGAGGGTTAAAATTACTTTCGCGCAGATTTTTTTCTTGTTCTTTAAAGGGCAACAGTTAAATTTTTACTTTGTATCGGATAATAAATTTCATTTAGTGCAGATAAAGAATCAAACGAATTCTGTAGATGTATGGATAATAATAAAAGAATGAAATATGACACAAACTTTGGTGAGTTTGAGAGATTTTAGGCCTTAAGCGATTAATGTTTGCACGCCAACTAGGTGAAGCGATTCTGTTATTCTACTCAGTATAATGGGCGGTTAGTGTTATGAATTAAAGACATGTTGATAGTTATATTCTAGTTTTTACTGGCATGTCTGTGATATCAAAGCGAAAATATGTAAAAATGGTTTTCTCTCATCTCTATTTTATACTAAAATAACTCACCACTTTACTATATCTTGTAGTTTTATTTCATACAGTTTCATAGAATTTTCCCTTTTTTCCCGTTACGATTTGACTTATCATTCATTTCAAACATGGCTTTATAGTTTACTCAACTTGTGTTTACTTTTACAGCGGAATAAAAACGTTAATATTTGTTCTTTGTCGTAGGCGGTGAAGCAAAAGGTCATATACTTAAAAAGAGATTCAGCTGCGCAGTGCTGCCACCTAGAATAGTGATTGATCTACAAATTCCGATCAAGGTTTAATAGAACCAAGTAAGCGACAGGTAATACAACTATCTTAGTTTAAGATAGGCCTCTTTACGTTTCGTATAATGCATACCAAAGTTGTTTTTATATCACATCTAATTAATTTAGTTATTTGAAAATTAAAAATTATACTTTTCTTAGAGTCTGCCAGTTACAATATCCTCCCAATATTGATATTATTTATTGTCAAATTCTAATTTTCTTTTTTTTTAAAGCTGTATTAAACCAAGAATCCCGATAAGTGATAAAGACGACCGAACAATCACGATGTTACTGAAATTGATAATAATTTATTTTACTAATATTATACATATTACTGGGTTGGATTAAGCTATTAGAAAAAGTATTCACCTCTAATACCAACTAATTTTACGAGAGAAAAAACAACAGCAACTAAACACACACACACACAAATATTATCCGTCTCCCTGACAACGTACGATGCATCACCTATACTACTACTACTACTACCAGTACAAGACTAGTTAGGGGAAATGAAAGGTTGCAGTACTGGTTAGTTTTACACATGAATACACTGTCGTCAATTAGTTTTAATATTTTTAAACCACACTGGAGTATATTATTATTATTATTAGCTAATACATAATTACCTGAGCGCAGTTTTCATAACTAGTTAGGAAACTACAAATTTCAAGGGTCCAAAGGCTGCGGCGGGATACTTGCTAACCGTCGACAATGTTCAAATTAAAAAAAAAAAAAGATTAATCTACATTGTGCTGCCATCTAGTAAATAAAAATAATAGTGAATAACAATGTTTCAAAATAAATTACATAAGGCAAACATTTATATAATTAACATACATGGTTTATTTTAGAGCAAAGCTACATTGGGCTATCCGCTGTGTCTATTGCAGTGGATCGAACCTTGGATTTTAGTGTTGTAACTCCGTAAAACACATCATATCTGAATACATTTAATTGGTAAAGCACTTGAATCAGATGCTCTTGTGTCTTCTGGTTTGTTATTAAATAAGTAAGTACGCTACGAAATATTTCATTTCAACTAGACTTAATTTCTAAAATCATCTTATAAAATCATTCTTAAAGTCGTTTTTTTTTGTAAGCATTAATTCGACTAGTTAATATTTGAACTTTCACACCTTATCTACTAAAAGATAATGCAAGTTTGAGACTAAACTTTGGAGAATATTTAAATACCGCCAGAGACAAGCAACAGTAAAGAAAACATGAATACCACAATACTGTCATAGTAAACTAACAGTAGAGAAAACACGAATACCACAATACTGTCATAGTAAACTAACAGTAGAGAAAACACGAATACCACAATACTGTCATAGTAAACCAACAGTAGAGAAAACATGAATACCACAATACTGTCATAGTAAACCAACAGTAGAGAAAACATGAATACCACAATACTGTCATAGTAAACCAACAGTAGAGAAAACATGAATACCACAATACTGTCATGGTAAACCAACAATAGAGAAAACATGAATACCACAATACTGTCATAGTAAACTAACAGTAGAGAAAACATGAATACCATGGTGGTTTTCCTAAAAATAATGATTAATAAATATGAAATGTACAGTCAACCCAATCCCTTAGATAAGAGCGTATATGCAATATGATTGTCTAGTGGGCCGTTTACAATTGTTTTTTTGTCATTCCATGTGTTATGTCAAGGAGAATTGCATCGCGTTTGTTTTTAAACAAAGTAGACTGACTGCAATGCATTGTTGGTAAAAATGTTTGTGTTTCAATGCAATGGATATATCCAGCATAATATATCACTCAGATTCACTAACTAGCAGCGGGAAAATACCGCTACTGAAGTAAGCGCTTTTTGACAGTTGCCATTTCTATAAGAAGTCTCAAAGGGGAGGTATTCAGTTTAATCCAAATCAATTTGTTCTACATGCATGTATATAATACCGACATAGAAAAATGTATTAATAAACCGAAAAACAATCAATATGTATTGAAACTCTTTCCTTTTATTGTGCATTTATTCTGTTCATGCTCCTATCTTCGAAATATTACAGTTAACAGAGGAAGTCCCGTTTGTTTCTTAAAATTTCCTTACAAAAAGAAACATTTTTGTTCTTTATAGGTTTCTTTCTCAGGTTGACTGAGTTAGGAAACTACAAATTCAAGGGTCCAAAGGCTGAGGCGGGATACCCGCTAACCTTGGTAGTGTTAAAAAAGAAAGAAAAAAGACTGAACTACGTTGTGCTGCCATCTAGTTAATAAAAATAATAGTGAATAACAAGATTTTAAAATAAATTACATAAGACAAACGTTTATATAATTAACATACATGGTTTGTTTGTTTTAGAGCAAAGTTACATTGGGCTATCCGCTTAATGTTCCTGTAATGTGCTTTTGAAAATAAATATTTTGATATATCTATGTATATTAAGGAAATACATATAAACATGTATATATAAACGTGCGTTCAATGAAACTTCTAAACTCACATTTGATCAGTCAGTTGACTTTAAAATGATACCACACGAAACATTACTGTACATTATATATTCTTGGAAAAATAAAAGTATGTTAATGTTTAGTGCTAAAACGACAACCGTAAGACAGTGGTAAACGTATTGTTATGTGCTGCCATCTAGATATTGGTTGTTGTTATTTTTAAAGACTTTCACAATTCTTTTTTTTAAAAAGTTGTGTTTCGAAACAATTATCATGTTTTTTTATATATATACTTTACCCGAAAAGCATTTTTTAAAAATATACATCCATAAGCCTTAATCAGAAATAAAAAAACAAATGAAAATATATTGAAGTGAATCAACATTGCAAGTTTTTGTTTTGCGCTGCAATCTGCTCACATCCTCTCGGTGGCCTTATAACGTTAAAAATAGGGTTTCGATACTCGTGGTGAAAATAGCGGAAAAGCACAAATAGCCCATTGATGTTATCAACCAATGTACAAAAATCTGCTGACAGGTAAAGTGTTGCCATCTAGTGGTTAAAATTACTACTTTCTAAGACTTTTGATCTTCACGACTTTCTAAGAAAGTTGTTATTCGAAAGTTTATTTATGTCTATCTTTAAATATCTGCTTATTCGAAGCTCCTTTTTCTTTGCAACACAGATCTTATACTTCCAAATGTTTAGTTATCGTAAAAATATACCTGCATAAAGTTTACTGTTACGACTTTAGTTAATTCGGGAAGGGTTGAAGACCATTCAATAAAATTTAATTTGCCATTAAAACACAATGAATTATTTATATTGGATCTATTTGATATAGTTAGACTC